AATGGGTCGTTGGGGAAATACAACCTTTTGAAGGTGTCCAAATTGACGTCAGAGGCCTCTGTTAGGGTGCTACCGCACGCGCATGCGCAACACCATCGTGGTTATTTTAACATAGTTGGATAGCCAATGTAACCCTTTCAAGGTTTTCAAAAGATTTCAAAAGATTTGGTCTCTGCAAACTGTTTCAAAAGACCTGCACATTTACCTCCAAAACGAAAATTGGCGCGTTTTTCAAACACACAAGGCAGAACAATGTCTTGTCCGATTGCTGACTTGGAAGTCCTTTTGCTGGACAGGTGAAAAACACAGTTTTCTTAAATATTAAGCGATTTTAGTGCATGATGGCTCGTTTGAAAGTTTGTGAAATTCTGGGACGTTTGATACCAAATCCGACGGACATATAATGGGTCGTTAGCGAAATACAACCGTTTGAAGGTGTCGAATTTGACGTCAGAGGCCTCTTTTAGGGTGCTACCGCACGCGCATGCGCAACAACATCGTGGTTATTTTAACATAGTTGGATAGCCAATGTAACCCTTTCAAGGTTTTCAAAAGATTTCAAAAGATTTGGTCTCTGCAAACTGTTTCAAAAGACCTGCACATTTACCCCCAAAACGAAAATTGGCGCGTTTTTCAAACACACGAGGCAGAACAATGTCTTGTCCGATTGCTGACTTGGAAGTCCTTTTGCTGGACAGGTGAAAAACACAGTTTTCTTAAATATTAAGCGATTTTAGTGCATGATGGCTCGTTTGAAAGTTTGTGAAATTCTGGGACGTTTGATACCAAATCCGACGGACATATAATGGGTCGTTAGCGAAATACAACCGTTTGAAGGTGTCGAATTTGACGTCAGAGGCCTCTTTTAGGGTGCTACCGCACGCGCATGCGCAACAACATCGTGGTTATTTTAAAATAGTTGGATAGCCAATGTAACCCTTTCAAGGTTTTCAAAAGATTTCAAAAGATTTGGTCTCTGCAAACTGTTTCAAAAGACCTGCACATTTACCTCCAAAACGAAAATTGGCGCGTTTTTCAAACACACAAGGCAGAACAATGTCTTGTCCGATTGCTGACTTGGAAGTCCTTTTGCTGGACAGGTGAAAAACACATTTTTCTTAAATATTAAGCGATTTTAGTGCATGATGGCTCGTTGGAAAGTTTGTGAAATTCTGGGACGTTTGATACCAAATCCGACGGACATATAATGGGTCGTTAGGGAAATACAACCGTTTGAAGGTGTCGAATTTGACGTCAGAGGCCTCTTTTAGGGTGCTACCGCACGCGCATTCGCAACACCATCGTGGTTATTTTAACATAGTTGGATAGCCAATGTAACCCTTTCAAAGTTTTCAAAAGATTTCAAAGGATTTGGTCTCTGCAAAGTGTTTACTCCAAAAACGAAAATTGGCGGGTTTCTCAAACACACAAGGCAGAACAATGTCTTGTCCGATTGCTGACTTGGAAGTTCTTTTGCTGGACAGGTGAAAAACACATTTTTCTTAAATATTAAGCGATTTTAGTGCATTATGGCTCGTTGGAAAGCTCTTCAAATTCTGAGAAGTTTGATGCCAAATCCGAGGGACATATAATGGGTCGTTGGGGAAATACAACCTTTTGAAGGTGTCCAAATTGACGTCAGAGGTCTCTGTTAGGGTGCTACCGCACGCGCATGCGCAACACCATCGTGGTTATTTTAACATAGTTGGATGAAACTGGGGTGTTTGCAAATGCTGCCATCAACAATAACGTCGTTGCCATTTCCTCAAAGCGGATTGTGTGTGTCTTGTTTGACGCCGCACTCAGCAATAGTCCAGCTATATGACATCGGTCGGTAGATATCTGGAGTCTGGACCACACATACCACAAATCATCACGAGCCTCGATCTCCGCAATAGGAATACGATAACATGCATCAAGTCTGACCACCCGATGCCTTTAGTCGCCTCTTACGACAAGGATAGTCGCCTCTTCTGACAAGCATGGGCTGCCGAAGAACTCATTTCCTCAAAGTCTGACCATCTTAATGTCTTACAACATTACTCCCAGACCTTGTCCCAAATAAAGAAAATTTATTTATGACTAAACAAATACCTCGGTCTCAGAATTATTTCTTTTACAGATTTGATTTAAAACGCATCTCCATCAAAACGCATGAATATTCTTATATCGGCATATTAGAAACGAATCATAGCTTTCTCTACCTGAATGTATGATTGCTGGTCAAAAGGTTCTAAGCCAAACTAACTCTCAACTTTTGGCCATAACAAGTAAACACGTTAATGTAGTACAGTGAATGATTAGTTCATTGCACATATATTTGGTCTGTTGTGGCCGTTTGTATATTAGTGACAGCCAGTTGAACGTGATATGGGTCCAAATTGACACAGAAACGGAAAAGAACGAGTACCGAGCAGTCATCAAGGTTCTGACTGAAGAAAAAGGTTTTATCCAAGATATTCATGAGAGCATGTCATCAAATAATATGTATGGGGATAAATGTCCTAGCTATTCCACTGTTTAACGTTGTACAGCTGTGTTGAAGGATGGGAGAACAAGTCTTGACCTGAGGTATGGACATCCTTCAACTTCCATCAATGGAGATGCAATCAAGGAGATATACGTTTTACCAATGCCGAACTTATATTGTCAAATACCTAGGTTACGTGGTCTCAGGGGACGGTATCAAAACAGAACCTGATGTCGATGATGTCAATTGCTTTCGTGGATTCTCTTGATACTTAAGACGTTTTGTATGTCATCAATAAGTTTTATGACTACTTGTACGGCAACTCATTCACTGTAAAGACTGGCAACACTACCCTCACTTATGCACTCAGTTCCACTGAGTTTGATGCAAACGGGCATCACTGTCACGCATAACTTGCCACCTATGACTTCTCGCTTGAGCATGTAGGAATGGCGATGGAGAATGTAAAGTAATTTACTAATCTCACCAAGTGCTGTGGAGACACTTTCCCTAACTAGACCACCTCGTTGTATAATGGTAGAGCGTCCGCCCAGATAGCGGGAGGCCAGTGGTTCGATCCCCGGTCGCGTCATACCAAAAGACGTTAAGATATGGTTCTTGTTGCCTTGTCCGGCGCTCAGTAGTAAGGGGCTAAAAACAAGGACGGGTCAGCTCGGAGTCAGTACAGCGTGTCTGAGTGGGGTATTCATGTCAAACTGCGGCATGGTACCTCAGTGGGCTTGAACTATAAATCGGCATCAGTCCAGACAGTACAAGCAGCCCCCCCCCCCCCCCCCCCCCCACACACACACACACATGTATGCACATTGCTATATAAGTGCAATAATCTTTGACGCGATAAAAAAAACCACTTGAACTCACTTTTCCTAAGTGGGGAGGTGATAATTTGCAGTTGATGGTATGGCATCCCCTGACATGATCCCTCAATTTGTTCGAATTTTATATACACGCCTACCCTGGAGGTTCTAACACCGGATCTTGATCTGCATCTATTCTCCCCTAGTAGGACTCGCTCACTGTCAAAGATGACCGTCTTCCAAGGCAAAACCTTACATATGTTGTAGCACCCTACCATCAACCGAGTCTGGAAGATATGATAAATCTATATGTGACAGCATATTAGTGGACATATATGTAGCATATGTTGCACATCTTATTAGTGACAGGACCATGGCTTTATTTTAGACATGGTTTTACTGGCGGGGAATGATAACAGGTGTGGAAAAAAATATTAGCAGCTGCCAGAGGTATATTCTTCGGAAAGATTCAAACTGAACTGAGCATGCATCTTTAGTTAGCATCAACCACTTAACCTATGGAGATGGTGTTCATCGCCTGACTCAGCTTGGAGCCCTTCTCTTGTGGTTATGGTGAGGTGAAATTGGCTTGACTATCGCTTCAAAGTGTGGTTATGGGAATTCCCTGGTCATTACAGATCATTTCAATAAATAGGCCTTTGCCATCCCCACTGGCAACAAAACGGCACATACTACAGTCCAAGTAATGTTCACATCATTGTTCACTGCAGCATTCAGAGAATTCGCAATCTGATCAAGGCTGGAACCGGAAGGTGATATCCCCAAACAGTTGTGCAGCATATTGGGCATGCTAGGTCTACTTTATATCATGATGGGTAATGGACAATGCAAGCGGTTTACGGACTCAGATGCTCAGTACTCGGGAGAAGCAGCAAAAGGCAAAGAAGAAAGATCATCTTTCTCACTTATTGTATGCCTATAACTGTTCACTCCCCACTTACTCGTGTTTGGCAGACATCATAGGTTGTCTGTTGACGCTACATTTGGTACAACACTGGCCAATATTTCATCACCAGCTAATATCCACTTTTTGCGGCTCTAGTGAGGAAATTGAATACTGCATAATCGGTCGAAAGAGGAGTATTACATGACAGATTCTGAACTTCAAAATCTGCCTCATGTTTTGACTAGACGCCCAGTGCCTGGGCATAACATACCACGCCGGGCTACACATATCCTTTTCATAATAGCCAAAACAAGAGAGACAAACCATGCATTGTCAAAGAGTCCCCCATTACAACCCTTCTCTCTGGATATTGGTTTACAATAACCACAGCGAAATTGTACACTTGAAACCTCAACCTAACGGCGTTGGATTAAAATGAGCTTGCAGTCAATATGTATCAACAATATTGGAGGAAAATAACAAACGTAACCATTTATAACATGGATAATTAATTATCTCGATAATAGAGGATTTGTCATTGAAATGGGAAAAGTTGTTGGTCATAATGTGACCTCAGAATCACAGAGCTGGAATTCAATTTCAATCATATTCACGATATGAATAGTCTCAAATGGATTTCTCAGCGTGAATGAAGTACCATTCATTCACGTGTGCAGTTCAACATATTTCTCTGAAAAGACCAAGAACACGGACAAACAGTGCACAGAATGTGACATTAAGAATTAAAAGCAAAGATGAAAGGAATGCCAAACTTTATTCAAAGATGAATACATATCATTCTTTCCGTGAACATATTTAAAATGTTTTTTTTGATAGGCATTTAGAAGTTGGAGTACTAAGTAAGGATACGAATTTATGGAAGAACAACTTCTTTATTACTGACTTAATCCTTTGTTTAAGGCACTGACTTCACTGATGATTGTCATCACTGCCCTAATGTGTACACAACAGGCTTCTCTACTCCAGTATAACAATATCTACTCTACTGTATAAATATTCCTTCCTACTTGTATATATACTTGCCTACTACACTCTGTATATCACTTGCTTGATAACGGTGATAGAACCTACACCGAAACGTCGCTCTTAATTAATAAAGAAGTTCTTCCTCCATAAATTCTTATCCTTTCTATGTTTAAAATGTATTCCTTCTGAATATCTGGTTTCAAGTTCTTATTATAATCCTTTACTGTCAGGCTACATAGGAAACTACATCTTTTCACTGACACCCTCCCCCGTATGGAGCAAGGTTCTGGATTCGAATCATTTCGAAGTCAAAGGTATCAGGTCCATGCAAGGTTTCTTCTATTGCCTCCATTTTCCGAGGGCCAACTGGCGCAAAGTGCATCAACTGAAATGTGACCAAAAAAGAAGTCATTGCAAACGCGTCCATAAGGACGATAACCATCACAGTTGCTACAAAAAAATTTAGTGGGTGAGATAATTCGGTGTAACACACTCTTTAACGTTATTTAGTAATAAGAATGGTGTGTCAGCCTGATGTAGCGGAAAAGTCAGAAGTGATGCATGAAAAGACATTTCCTACTTAGCACAAGGAATGATAAGACAAACCTAGAAACCAAATCAGGGGATTAATGACTTGTGTAAGAAGGTTTACCTCAACTGGAAGGCTTGCTAGAGTTCTGAAACATGCCGCCCGTTTACCTGCTTTCAGAATGCCCACGTCTCTCTTAAACATCTGTCTCATCTTCTCGTCAAACTCAGCTGTTGTTAAATCTGAAATGTAAGTATGAATTGGATAGCATACATGAGTTTGGAATAGGAACTTTGGGATTTTATTCACAAAGCGTGGACAGGACTGTGCATTTTGATCCTTCGTGGGAAGCTACCTAATTCCTAGTATATTTGCCACTTTTGACTGCTCTTAACTTCAACCCTCATCCTTGTCACCAGATGCTACAGCAAGTAAGTATTGGACATCCAGGAATGGCTCAGGAGCTAATTAACATTCGATTCTTAGGTGCTTTGAAGATTCCTACCACAAAGTCCCGGATGTCAGCTATTTTTGATTTTGCAGATAATCATGTAGGTTAATGTACTCTGACACGCTACAATTGTTTCAACCAGATGAATTTATGGTGATTTAAAACCTGACGGGTCAGAGTAAAACCCACTGCTTTAATATATTTTTGAAAAACAACACAAGTGTACACCTGTAAATGCTTATATTACTTCGTGTGCTGACACGAATTTAAGAATTGAACGCTTTTAAATCGCTCACACTTCAATGAACCCATCCAAACGGACGTTAAATTTTTATAATTTCATATTTTGTAGTTTACTGGTCTCGCCGAATAATATCGTAACAATGTTTGCTTAAGTTTGAAGTCCTCTGGTTTTGCCGAAGATCATTGCAACAATGTTATTTTGTCGGTATTTGCCGGCTCTCGGTCACATGCGTTTCCCCACTCATACTCAGTTACGCAAAGAAAAATAGTTCTTTGAATATCTACAACATAATCTAGAAATATGTCAACTGATTTCATTCTCTTAACAAATTTACAAACAACATTTGGGATAAATCAAATCTTAAAAACAGGTTACAGGAAGTTGAACAAAAATATAAACATGACCTCGATGCACCGAAGCGAGGTCAACCTTCAAGCGCGGATTTATGTATAACGTCACATAAGTTTGCAAAGAGGTGCATTTAGCTTCGAACGGGAGCATGAGGATGAAATGTATACTTACTGCTGTTGAAAATGACGTTTATGGAGCAGTTATGGAAAACACCGCTACGCGTGAACCCTCCAGTGGCACTAGGAAACTGGGAATATCACCGATTATGAATGCGTTGCTTGTGTTTGGATAATCGCAAACCAATTCAGACGATGCGGAATGGACAGGTGGGGATTGAACCGAGTGCTCTGAAACCTGTGTGTTTTGTGTTAATTTTCAACATCAGGGTGTGTTATATTTGGAGTTTGGGATTTGCCGCGTGTGCTCTAATACTTTGCTTAGCTGGTGTTTCTTGTCACCCGAGATGGACCTACTGTATGACCTGATGCCAGCTTCGTTTCTGTGCCCCGTCACTCCTCACGTGCCGCCGCTTCTCGGCCCAGAATGCACGGAGAAGGTCGGCCAACTCAGAAACCGGAATAGTAGATTTCTAATTCCGTCCACGGATATTTTCTCGTCTCCGAGGTCCAATCGATAAAACAGGTAGGCATGTTTTTAAAAAAAAAAATCAATTTAAGTTTCTTTCCTTACCTTTTTATGTTTTATGGTTTCTCAAAATCTTTGATTTTTTTCCCGATACGAATGTAAATCAGGTTTTAGTTTGGGATTGATCAGGTGCAGTCGCGTTTGCTCTGTGTCAGCGGCCACATCTGAGTAGGGTACGACATTGTTTTCATTGGTGCTAGATTCCTGTCATTCCCCCAAACAAGGCATCAAAGTCAATACTGCTCAATAAATCAATTGTGTTCACATCAGTAATTTTACAGAATTAATTTTCTTCACTCGCGTTATTAGTATTGAAAGATAGCCATTCCATATCCAAATCACCGCAAGGACAATGCATTTTGTTTCATGTAGCAGCTTGACGACATCAATCACCAGAACCAAAGCATTTATTTATTTATAAGTCAGATGAAATGTTACAAAACCAGGCAAAAAAACAAAATCAATTATATTGCTGATAAATGCAGGTATTAAAAAGAAATAGAAAAACGAGTTGATCGTAAACACCGATCGAGAATTCGGGGAAACCCAGGAAAAGTTCACAATTTCACACAAAAATTGTTCACATCGTGTGAACTTTTTTTGACCGTTCACATGTGTGCGAACTCCAAATGTCAGATCACGTGACTACCCCTTCAGCCAATCAGCATGAAAGAAACAGTGGAAACTTCAAAGTATGAAATTATTACTAAATGAACTACAACGCTCCAGAGTTATTATTCCTGGATAAAGTTTATACTCGCTAGGACAGCTGCTGTGTTTATCCCTCTTTTAAATCAACATGCACAGTAGCTGGAGTTAGCCCATGTGATGCTGTATGTTTAGTGACTGTTGCGCTAACCATATATGATAATACTTACTTGTAACTAGATGATAATACTTACTTGTAACTAGATGATAATACTTACTTGTAACTAGATGATAATACTTACATGTAACGATCTATGTGTAAGCGCTTAATTGCCAGACATACCTTTGGCACGAAATATTTGCTTGCCAAGAAGTAAATCCTCATCATCCTTGAGAGACATATCATAAAAGTCTCTGGTTATATTGACCCCAAGTTCCCGGGCGTAGTCACTGCAGCGATACACTGGGGTCGTCTTCACCTCATAGCCCTTTCGTGACAGAAAGCTTGTTAACTGTGGCCAGCTGCACGCTTTCTCAACACCAAGAACTGAAATTAACAGATATTTGTTTTCTCATTAAATAAAAAAGTGGGAGAAACATGTTATTATTTCCTTAATAATATGATGAATATTAGTAAGGAAATAGAAAATACATAGAACAAAGAATAAATAAAAAGCCTTTCTTCAGACAAATGCAATATTTCACCACTGACTACAAAATAATAGGCATGCACAGACAAGGATACCTCATCTCTGAATGGTGAAAGAACTAAATCATATGTCTTTCATGATTGATATAGATTTACGTGGATTGGGCGTTGCTATATAGTTTCATAATATAGCAACATATTCTTTTCTGCGAATACCTGTTGAGAAACAATAACGTGTGTCCTACAGCAAGTTTGTTATGAAGCAACATAAACAAATAGTTCAGAATAAAACTTACCAAAAATTACCCTTGAGTTCCCGAGTTCCTGTTAAACATAGTGCAATTTATTAACATGTGCGTGTAAATGATTGTAGTGGGAGATTGAATGTTGAACACTATTTCACCAAATGGCGACCGCTCAATCAAATAAAGACGTTTGCTATGACAAGCACCATGGTTGTTCGTCTAAGATTAACAGAATGCTCTGTTGCAACCAATAAGAAAATATTGATGACAACGTGGCCAAGGGTATACACGGTCATGGCATTGCAACTTGCAATCAACAAAGCCACGAAGTCTGGCAACCCACATTAAGTCTCAACATTAAGTCGCCTATAATGGCAAGCAACCCGTTATGAAAAGGTGAAGCAACGTGAGTGTGTGCAGTACAAAACGGTGATGCAACGTGAGTCTGTGCAGTACAAAACGGTGATGTAACGTCAGTGTGTGCAGTACAAAACGTTGATGTAACGTGAGTGTGTGCAGTACAAAACGGTGATGCAACGTGAGTCTGTGCAGTACAAAACGGTGATGCAACGTCAGTGTGTGCAGTACAAAACGGTGATGCAACGTGAGTCTGTGCAGTTCAAAACGGTGATGCAACGTCAGTGTGTGCAGTACAAAACGGTGATGCAACGTGAGTCTGTGCAGTACAAAACGGTGATGAAAACTATTTCGCTAACCTTAAATGAAAATAGAACTTTGATGTCAGTGAGACCCTCTACTGTTGTCTTAATCTGCAATATGTCTGCTGTCTCGTCCCTCCCCTCCTTAGGAGGAAGGGTGATGTCAACTCTGTACAGAAGGGCGTCTCTATCATCATCGGAGCCGAGAACCGACCGGGGGAGACACGACAGGGTGAGGAGACCAACGAGGAAATTGAACATTGTTGTAATCGTTCTTCCCTCAACTTCTGGCTACGGACAAATACAAGTTTGTTTTCTGATATCAGTGGGTTGCCTGCCCCAGACTTGATGATTTTAACAGCGGCGTCAAATAACTGGAATATTGCGGAGTGTGGTACAAAATACACAAACAGAAAAACACGGAGCTTTTGTGTTCGAATACTGCGAGGTTTGATTTCAAGTTACCAAGGACACAGAAGCTGCATGTGGACTTTTGGTCGAACATTATGTCAGGGATTGTCTATGAGTGTTAATAAAATAATATCACCAGGATTGGCCTTGACACATATTGATTATTGAATACATCAACAGTTGCTAGTCATCAGCTCACAACCATCCAACAGGTGTGAATGGTGACGAGAATCAGTCAAGCAGCAACAAGGCTTACTCAGATTACTGCTTGTGTATAATCTGAAACACGTTGTCAGTGACACTCGTGTGGTAAGGGATAGTTGTTAAGTTGAATCTCCTAAACTGTTACAGTGTATAAACTACCGAGATGTATCCATCACGTACAGATCGCGACGTTGTGGCCTTTGCATGTCCCTGTCGTCAGTAGGTGGTCACAGTTTGAACAGAATATTTATATCATGTCATATTCTGTACGTACAGGAAACTTGACCAGTACTAATATTTCAGCACGTCCACACATTATAACATTATCGTGTAGAATAACTGAAACCGACGCTAGGCCACTATACGGCCCCATACCTGTCTCTGCCACGTGCATGAGGTAGCAGCAGGACTGCCCCAGTAAATGGAAAGGTATAAGACACATTTGCTATGGGCTTTCAGAGTATTTTATGGTCATATTTGAACATGACGAAGTATTTGAGGGAAGATGTTTTTCGAAAAAGATAAAGGTAAACATAGTTTAATTCTGGGATACTGGTCGTTAGAGGCGACTAAATATTTCGTGTTCGGGCTCGTTGACTCAGTTGATTAAATGTCATAACCCATTTGCGTTGGTCGATGCTCAAAGTGTCAATCATTACATTGTCTGGTCTAGATTGGACTATTTACAGACCTCTGTCATATAACTGGAATATTTCTGTTAGCAGCGTTAATAAAAAACAACAACGTAATATCTTCCAGACCAGGTCGGCCACTAAGCATGACGATAATTCGCATAAACTACTCCATATTAACGCCTTAAAGACATCCACAGTCAAAGGAACATTGTGAATTCCCGTTGCATTTCACATAATGACAGGTACCAAAGCATAATGCACAGGGGTCACAAATGTCACATAACAACACAATAAACGTCGACTGTTGACTTAATTGTTCTGTGTACTGCTAGACGCCTAGTTTCAAATCATAGTGTTACAGCCAGTTATGTAGTATCAAGTTGGTATGTACGTATCAATCTGAAATGCAAGTATTACTTGCAAAATGCATTCATGTTTTCTCCGATCCTGACTCAGTGTTTCTCGTTTGTGAAGTCCAATAACTAAAATACATGCAATATGGAAATGAAGTAAATATATCTCTCGGAAATAGAAATGGTGATTGGGTAACCAGTTCAAGTATAGAAACTATTTTAAAATTGTACCATTGTTGATACTTTTAACTACGATGATACCTCACTCTTATGACTGCTATCATGTGGGAAATTCTCATTCGGTATGGAAGACCCGTTGGTCCGTAATGTAATTTGTGGTATGTCCATAGGTTTGGTTACAGTGCTACACATCTTATAAACTCTCATATATATATATTACTACTCTTTGCCAAAGCCTACCCAGCAAACAATTCTACGTTGTGACAACGTTGTGACAACGTTGACTTTTCGTTGCTACAACGTTGTGATGTTACGTTGTCACAACGTAATTCTGTAGACTCCCAGATTGGTTGCTACAACGTTGTGCGTAAACCAAAATACAACCAAATCAAGACGTTGTCACAACGTCCATTTTTTACGTTGCTACAACGTTTAACCAAAACGTCGCGACAACGTACCAGCCAACAATTCTACGTTGTTACAACGTTGTGACAACGTTTACTTTTCGTTGCTACAACGTTGTGATGTTACGTTGTCACAACGTAATTCTGTAGACTCCCAGATTGGTTGCTACAACGTTGTGCGTAAACCAAAATACAACCAAATCAAGACGTTGTCACAACGTCCATTTTTTACGTCGCGACAACGTAGGTATCGCATACTGTTTACATATGGCGACACTACAGGCATTGCAGCACGTTGTTGCAATGTCCATGTAGATTAACGCCTGTTTTATTCCTCAATACCCCCCAGGCAGCCTGAAAAGTTTGTACCAATCTAGTTAAGACGTCAGGTACCAAGAAATACATTCTGCAAACTGAATTCACTTTAACCCTATCCATGAAACAGCAAGTCAATGAAATGCACTCTCTTTTGGCAGAGTTTGAAATACGGCCAAGATATAAATCTAAATTTTTTAAATTACATGTACAATTTGGTAATATAATATTCATTTTCCAAAACAATTTTCAAGGCTATGTGCAAATTGTTCACAAATGTTTCAACACAATTAAAAGATATTGGATTTTCCCACGAATTTGCAAATTAAAAACCATCAAACAATAAGCCCTGCACAAATTGAAACATTTAAATTTTCTTGGCCTTACCTCATACATTCAGCATTGAGAGCAACACTGTGACAAACAGAATAGTCTATGCATCTGATGTCCTAAGATCCATTAGGTAAACGAAATGACAATAGAATTCTGGTTGAGATGACCTTTATTTATTTGTTAAATGACAAGTCAGAACATGGGCTGACTTGCTGGGGAGCCTTTTCAGTCCTCAAATGAAAAGCCACAGGGATGATCTTCAACTGTATCCTCAGTCTCTCCTTATGCCTTGGTAACTGAATAAAAAATGACACAAATGTTATAAAATGGCAAGGCAAGGGACATATTTCTGACATAACAAAATAACGGTTGCATTCCCCAAAATAATGTTTTGATGTCTGATGTCAGTCTTTAAACTGTTAAAAACTGCTGAAAGTGCGAAGGCGCTGACACTAATACCATGATGCTCTTGGATCATACATAAGCAGAAAAGCTTTTAGCACTGAATCATTGGTGTAACTTTATACCCCCACCCTTTTAGATTGTGGGTATAATTAAATAAGAATCATCTAAATTTTAATTCTTGAAGATGTTTGTATATATTATTGAATCAGACATACCTTTCTGTCAGTGATATGTACTTTAAACAAATACGCTCCCACAATACTGTTTTCTCCACCTGAAAGAAAAACAGAAACCACAAAGTATCACATTCTTAAATAAGCCAGTACTGTATAGATAAATCCCATTTACTTAGACTAATAGAGTATGATGTAACTGATAGTAATATTGGCAAATAGTTTTATCAGTCAACAGATCAACTGTAGTTTTTCAAAAGCAGTAACTTTACCTTTCTGCTGTACACTCAAACTAGTGATTCAAGTGAATATCATGGCCAAGTTTCTAAAACCTTATTTGAAAAATATGTACATAAATGAAAAATATATATTGCCAAATAAAATAAATAGTTCCCATATTTGAAGCAAGAATGTTGAATATGAATTATGAATTGGCCCACCAATAAGTGATAAAAGTGTTAACACTTTGGGGTATTTATCCTAATTAAAACTGTGATTTTTTTTAATACTTAGATCTACCTTAATATTTTCCATATTAATATGCCAGGATAGTTATATATGTTCTAACATTTACAAAGATTAGAAACATGGGGAAATAAACAAAATGCAATAGCTTATACAATACCAGACGAAGTTGAAACAGCTCTAAATATTTATTGAAATTTATTTGTCACTACGTTTATTAACATAGATCTAATACAGTTAAATATCGTTAAATATAATTCTGTAGTATGGTAGCCTACGTGGCAACATATGCAGATCGAAAACCGAAAGAATATGGTTGCTATCAATTCCATTGTATTTTTCATTGGTGCACATTGGCTACACCTATCTCACTTTAATAATCAACAAACGATGACCAACTCACTGACAATATATGGTGATATTTAACTTTTGACTATCGACTAGCTTATCATCACCAGAGAGGACAATACCGCAAACACCCCGTTATAGCGCGCGACGAGAGACTCGTTTTACTTTTGCTCGTTTTCATTAGAAAGGAGTCGGACATAGATCTAGTTATCGGAAAATGATGAATTGATTCTTTTTTCGGAAATAATAAAAATACACATGATAAGCACCTTGCTATGACAAACTTTATAGACAGCAGCAACAACCTGATGATCCACATTTAGGCTACTTCAGTCAGTGCTAATTAGGCCTTTTCGGAAACATCAAGTATGTTTCTGTCTCTTCCCGAAAATACGATTTTTTTCATAACATCATTGATCACTTTAGACTAGGGCTATAACTAGCAGCCTACAGAGAGTCGATCTGAATACTTCCATTGTTTTGATTCCCTCTTTTCGCTGTATAAGAGAAATCTACTTAACCTTTCCCATGGCCTGGATGAGCCACATTGTTGCACAAAAATCAAAGTCAGAAGATTAGTACATGTAAACTTTAAATAGTAATGATTTCAGAAATAACACATAAGAAATGGCGATAACTGTCAGTGCGGTCAGTAGGCGATGCATAAGTTAGGCCTATTTACAAATCTACACGCTTACGAACGAAACCCGAACATAATATGACGGCCACAAAACGCCACCAGATTGAATTCTGGTCAAAAATATACCGCTTGCCCTTGGCAATTACCCTTGGTATCCATAAAATAATAATATGGAAAAAAGTCTTGGGCCCCCTTCACCTCTATCATCAAGTTCTGTGTATCATATTAATATCAACACTGACGCTCAGTGAAAATGACCGGCAAACTGCATTCTTAACCCTGCCACTTCTGAATAATACGATACATTTAGATCATTTGATGCACTGCATGCACAGAAACATATCAACAAGCGGAGACTATTTTTGAAAAATTAACTTACCTCAATCGAATTCACAGATCATCTGTCCAGTTCCAGTTGCTGCACAATCACTTGCTTGTAATATATTATGTCCAGAGTGAGTTTGAGCTAAGATGGCTGGTGACAGCAAATCTTCCGCGACAATGTGACGTCATTCTGACGTCACTTCACGAGGCAACAGGCTAAACTTTTCTGCAGTCGCTCTCACGCCGCAAAAAATACGCGCCAATTGTTTTTAACTGTAATATTGCTTGTGACAACATTTAGTTCGTTAATAGAATATATGTTTAAAAAAAATAACACTAAGAGATGGTAGATCTACAAGTGGTTTCCTTAACATCATTTACAAAAAGTACTGTAATGTCCAAAGCACAACGTTATCACAACGTTAATTTGCAACGTTGTTGTAACGTTGTCACAGATATACGCAATTACGTTCTCGAAATATTAGTATTAAGAGATGAAAATTCAAATGCCGAATATATAGAAAGGTAATGCATTACTTGGTTTTCTGACAAATTCATGTTGATTTTGATAAAGCAGCTCTATTCCTTCTATTCTATTCTATCGAGAAGCAAACTCAATAACGTTTCACCGACGTTTCAGAAACGTAGTTACAAAACGTTGTGTGATGTCCAATGCGCAACGTTTTCACAACGTGAATGTGCAACGTTGTTATTACGTTGTGAAATAACGTTGCAGGTCGACGTTAAAATAACGTTGTTACAACGTTATATCACGACGTTACCAATCCACAACCTTTCAACAACGATGGAAGTGCGAATCATGCATGTATGGCGAAAATGTTATTGTCATTGTTTGTTGTTTAATCGCCTCTTACGACAAGCACGGGTTGCTGAAAAGTGAAAACCAAATCTAACATTATTGTAATTTTTTATGCCAAAATGTAGTTTATTTCGAGTAAACACCTTTGTTTTTACGCTTTTCGCGATGAAGACTATTTGACGTCGCACCAACGTATGAGAAACGTTGTCATCATAACGTTGCATGGCGCCCGATGCACAACGTTTCCACAACGTAATTTTGCTACGTTGTGATTACGTTGTCACATAACGTTGGAGTGACGTGATAATAAGGTGTTTACACAGACTTTAGTTTATTTACGAGATGGAAATCCTGATTCCGAAGATAAAGGTAAATAATGAATTACTGCCTTGTTTTTGGCAGAAATTGTGTCGATTTGTATGTAAAACTTTTGTTCATACAATTTTCGTTAAGGCGACAGTTGACGTCGCACCAACGTTTCAGGAACGATGTAACAAGACGTTGGGAAATATTCGATGAACAACGTTTTCACAACGTAAAAATGCAACGTTGTTATTACGTTGTGAAACGACGTTGCACAGTAACGTAATAATAACGTTGTGACAACGTTGTATCACTACGTAACCAATTCACAACTTTACCACAACGTTGTGAAAACGTAGCGTGTTAGCTGGGTATGCATATAACTTTGTCATACTTTTTTGCATGGTCCTTCTGAAAAATAGAGTAAGGTCGCTCTGTGGCAAACGTTTGATATCTTACCTTTTTGAATGTTAGGAGTTGAATACTGGCTGGTAACTGCTGCCGAAGGTTTGACTCCAGCTATTTATATATACGTGTCTCCCTGATTCATGTCGGCATAAGGCAGAATTATATGTACATTTATGAGATCAGCTTATTCCTTTTTGCAAGTCAGAGCATGATTACATGTAGATACCACACTAATACACATAGTTCAGTATGTGCTTTCTGTGACACACACCTACTTTACTCCATACACACGTTCAGTATATTTGTACCTATGACACCATTACCAACAGATCCTGATCGACATAGTCAATAAGTGAGGTCGGCCCAGAACATTGACAGGAGCGGATCCACCATCATATACCATGTCTACCTTCACTCTATATCAACAATAAACATGGCTGCAGTCGTCCTTACAGGCCGGAGTGTAAACTTATCACAGGTTTCCAATTAGTCTCCCATTGGCTACACCTCAGCAATGTTGGCTATTACAGTCGTTTGACTCCAAATGAGAACGATAAATTGCAAAATAACTCGAAATCCAGAAAAGTAAGTTATAAAACCTCATTGCTAGGAATATTGACGAAGCGTATTTAGTGGAGACTAAGTATATAAACTTTAAAGACTATCATGTAGGTACGATGTATTTACAGCAATCAAAACAAACAAAGCTTGTCAGTGTAGATAATCTTTAACTGCAGACAGAAACTGCTCAGTCCAAATTGTTAATCATGTCCGGTCAAAATTTAAGAATGTCCGGACAGAAAAAATTAAATGTCCGGTAAGCAATATTTTAAACCGGACATTTGAGATTCTAAATCGGACATGTCCGCCGCATATGAGGGTTTACGGACCCCTTATATAAAGCCTGTAGCTTACTTTGTTTCGCCTCTGTGATTTTGTGCTTATTTATGATATTGGCCAAACTAGGTATCTTCTTGCAATCAACCTACAACGATCTCTTGCACACACATACAATGTCTTTTAGCCAGATTCACTTTACAGATTCACTGTATTTTTCATTACATTCTAGTTCAGATTTTTACAGCTTAACATATTTTTTTCATACCCATTTTACTTTTAACGCATATCACCACAACATCTGTTGTCATGAAAATATTACATTCATAAGCCAAACGCCAAGCACAATACATACTTTATGTGTTTGCCTCTACGCCATCAGTAGACTTAACTGTTAGTTATGTTTATAAATGATCTGTTTCAATAAATTAACTATGATGCTAAATATACATGTCTTACTGAGCGGGGACCGCGATCAGGATTAGGCGCTCCATGGAAACGTCCAGTGTTCCTGTACGAGCTGAAACTTCCCCTCCCCTGTATGTTCTTTGTACAGTTTTGTATGTTCAGTTTTGTGTGTACAGTTATAGGCCACAGAGTTTAGAAACTGCCTCATGTGATCAGAGTAGGGCAGCAATAGCGAGCCTATCTTCATAATATTATATATTTTCTTATCATTGTTGAAATGCATGGAGGTTGACTGGTGCATTTTAGCCACATGTAACATGAAACAAATGTGGACATTTGGACTGTACACTTGTTTCTTATTCATTGTTAATTCACTGTTGTTCGTATTATGCCCAAATCGGTCCGCATCACTCAGAAGAACCGGAGTAAAATAACCTTGTTTGGTTTGTTGTTTAACGCCGCAATACTTAGAGATATTCCAGCTATATGACGACGGTCTGTAAATAATTGAGTATGGACCAAACAATCCAGTGATTAATATTATGAGCATCGATCCGCGCAATTGGGATCGATGACATGCATCAACCATGACAGCGAGCCTGACCACCCGATCCCGTTAGTCGCCTCTTACGACAAGCATGGTCACCTTGTACGGGAAGAATGGGTTCCTGAAGATCTATTCTACCCCGGATCTTCACGAAATGAAGTAAATGTATAGCGCACAAATGTCCCCAGTCGCTTGCAGTTCGTCATAACCATTATGTACCGTTACGGTGAACCACACACTAACAAGACTCACTGACATATACCTCACATCCCCATCATCTGACAAACCTGGATGGATAATAGCTTTCCACAAACTTTATTGAAAATCAAGTAGTCACAATAAATACATGCATTAATGCTTCCCAGGTTAGGTACAGATATTTGTGACAAATTTTAAAACATGATTTAAAACACTATCATTTGACATTCCCAAAAGTTTGAATACTGGGATGTCGATGTGTTTAATCTTTCAGTGCGACTAGACTTTACAGATTCTGTTACCTTCATATGTAAATGATCAACAACAAGATAGGACGTATATTTGTGACCCTGGTTTTTTTTGGAAATATTATGCTCTGTGCATCTGTTGTCTTAGCTAGTAGTATATAATCAAGCCTAGCCTCCCTTCAAATAGGCAGTCACAGAAAACACTATCACTGTCATTACTTGATTAAACAAAGTTCTACATTTGAAGTAACATTGTAGTCAAACTTTTGATTGATCACTTCTCTGTGTTTGCCGTTTACACTGAAATAAGTCAGAGGAACCAATCCATGACCACCAGGCGAAGACACGCAAATAACATTTTCATGTATGACAATGTTCCAGGGAATAAGTCTGTGATGTGGAATCTTGTTCAGGAAATATTTGAAATAGATATGCTGAGACACTTTGCCACCTGATACATACAATAAATAATCTTCTGTTGGATGGAAGGCAATACCGAATAAGTAGGACCCACGGGCTATGATTGAAACATGGAGTCCTGCATAATCAAACTGACGAATTTTGTTCTCAAGGGCAACATAAATCATCTGTTTAGATGGATCAAGGGTTATATCAATTGCAAGGTCTTTATGTGCATAGATAACACGAAAGTCCTCGCCTGTTATTGTAATTCTAGAAAGCCTACAAGTTTGCTTTTTCAAAGTAAGTGCTGTGAAAAACACGAGTTGTTTTCCTTCATCTACACATAGCCCGTATGCAGACATGTCCCTGAGTATTGTAGAAGCCATGTAGTTGTCGAGTACGAATGACTTGATTTGATGTGGCTGACCGGTGGCCACCAATATTCGTCTCCCTGATTGTACATAGACCATTGCCAAAATCAGATCCTCGTTGATGAAAGGGTACAACTCAAAGGAGCCATCGCCAATATAAAGTTCTCTGAACTGCCTCTTGCCGTATTGTTTAGATTGAACGACGAGTAGACGAGCTCCTTCTGAAACTTCAAATAAAACAAGATTGAGTCAATCATATCAACCACATCTGAAATATCTGAAAGCAGAAAGATTTCGAACATGTGGTCTTTCTCTGACATTGATAATTGAAGACTTGTGAAGAATGAAGTCGAACGGAACTCATGGCCTTGTTTCAGAGGGATGTTCCGCGTAACATGTACTTGCCGACCACAGGTTTGCCTTTGTGCAGCCTTTTTGAATGGCCTTGCACTTTTGTATGAGCATGATCGTAACTCCACCCATAGTGCTACAATAAGGGCGCCAACCTCTTTCACAAAGCCCCCTTAGGCTATGATCATCGTAAATAAAGATTTCACAAGAGTTTTCGTGAAAATGGCGACATTAATCGTATTAAATGAAGCAAGTAAAAATATTCCGATCAAAGGATTTAGCAGAATTCAAAGAGCAGCTATCTTTGAGGAAAGTAAAACCCAACATTGAACATTACACTAAGGTTCCCATCCAATCATGCAAGAGACTCCGTTACTGATAACGCTTCGTTATCTGAGCAAGGTTTCTTAACGGAGATTGGTGATTTGCACAGAGTTTCATACCCCAGTGTATAAATTTAAGGGCCTTTGATAGGACTTTGCAAAGCCTATATATAACGCTTCCTGCCATCCAGTTTCCAGACCCCGACTCAATCCAAGCTTTATCAGGATGTTTTCAAGATATGTGGCTTACCCCAAGTTATCGGTGCAATTGACGGGACGTTGGTACCCATTTGGCGTTCACTGAAAGAGGAAGAGCCTGCCTATGTCTGGTAGGGATGCCATGCGATAAAAGTGCAGACTGTGTGTGATGCAAATATGTTTGTATCCACATGTAATCAAAAGAAACAATCGTCACCTAACCCAATTCGATAACAACGTTCATCAACAACGAAGGAATATAATGGTTTGTTTACATTAGATACGACCGTTTTTTTCCCGTTTAAGTAAATACATATTTTGAGGCACGTTTAAGGAGCCTATAATTAATAGGTGAGATGAGGTGAGGTTGGGTTTAACCTCGTGTCCAAGATTATTGCACATATATAGCGACGTGCGTGCGTGCATGCGTGCGTGCGTGTGTGTGTCTGCTTGTACAAGTCCGGACTGATGCTGATTTAAAGTGCTAGCCGACTGAGATACCATGCCACAGTTTAACACCAGTAATACCCAACTCAGACAACAATATACTGACTCCAAGTCGACCAGTCCTTGTTTATCCCCTTTATGGCGATCGCCAGACAGGGTAACAAGTACAATCTTTCAACAACTTTTGGTATGAGGCGGACAGGAATCGATCCCTGGAACCAAATGCAGAATTATTGACTCTCAAATACTATTATTTACATAAAAAAGTCACACACTGCAAAATATCTATTATGTCTAGACAACAGTCTTCTTTGTGAAAACATATTTCAATATATGTCAAGACATTTCTCATTTTACAGTGTTGTCAGCACAAAGCGATAAAGAAAGATTCAAATGAGCTTAATGCAGAATTTATTGACCATCAAACAGCATTATTTTCCAAAACAAAGTCACAAGGAAAGATTTAAATGAGCTCACTATTTCAAGTCTCTCTCAACATCATTTCCCATAAGGAAGAGAATATATGTATGTCAACTTCTTTATTATTTGGAACACAACGTTTCGGAGTACATGCTTACTCCTTCATCAGGTAAATGAATGCCATGAGACAGATAGCATATATATGTAGATGTAAGGACAACGTTGTGTTCCTCATGATAAAGAAGTTGACATCCATATATTCTCTTCCTCATGTGAATCAGTAAATGCCTTCAAAACCTGATCATCTTCCAAGTATGACTCCACATAGACGATTACCTCCCTTGAACATATCTTGAATAGCATTAGAATTTTATCAGTGGTGAGA